CAAATTAGGCTTAACCCCATTCTTATGTTTCTCCTCCTCAACATAAAGATTTGCAGAAAAAAATCCTAACAAGCCTAGGGTAAATATTATCACAAAGAGACATATACTTCTGCGTTCAAAGATCAAAGTAATATCATAGGCCTAAACCTATATCCTTAAGTTCACAAATATCTACCATTTTCTCATACAGTAATTTCTCATGCATTAATATCTAATTATAGTAATCTTGTCTAGACTGAGATATAAACCCATAACTTTCTAAGAAATCACCACTACTCCATCATCTGATTCCGTCTTAGATTGCTCTTCTTTCTCTGATTCGATTGGTTCATGCTCTTCAACAATTAATTTTCGCTTCTTTTGTCGTGGGTTTTTAGGCATAGGGACCTTTTTTCGTTTGGGGGCAACTTTCTTAATAGCGGTGATTAGTGTTATGGATTTAGGGGAAGAAAGGGAATTTGAAGATGACACTTTATTGTGTAATTTTTTTAGTTTTGGCTTTTCGATCTGAGGATAATTTTGCTTTGCCCTTCAAAGCTTTAGTTTTTCTTGGAGCTGGGTTTGATGGTGATTCATCTCTCTTTATCGCCATTTTTTTTTTTAGAATGTGTGCCTATGTTTTTGCTCCTAGATGTTATTTATGACCGGCGAATGACGTTGAAGAGTCGCAAGCCAGAGGTTATGAACAACGAATGGGTTTTGGGGAGGTTTGAGATGATGGTTTCTAAGTGTGCCTTTCTAGAAATAGAGAACAACTACTCTATTTTCACTTAAGAGGATTCCTATATAGGGTACAACTAATTCACAATTATCTCTGCTATATCTTATATTATGATGTTATTTCAGTAATAGAAGAGTTGGATTGCATGAATTTGTGCTGGAAGTGAGTTGAGAATACTTAAATAAACTTACCATTGTTGGACATGTTACAGTTATGCTGCCTGACATTCAGCTTCTGTAAAATAACACGCTCTCTGTATATTATCACAGAAAACCATGCATCGTATTAGAATATTGTATGATGTAGATATCCAACAATTAACAGGCATTCATATTTGAGCAGATTACATTTCACACATTTATATGCAGTAAAAATGTGATCCAATATGCAATTAAAACTGCTCTGATACCAAAATAAACATGTCACACCTTACCCTACTGTAAGACATGGCATGTCGCCCGTAATATAATTAATAATGAGCTTTAAAAATTATGAAATTTTACAGGGAAGTACCCTAAGATGTTGGGAACATGCTGTAAAAATTTCAGGGCAAATGAATTTGAGGAAGTCCAGATATAATCAATGGAATACAAGCTACTCAAATGCTGAAATTCTGCATTTCATAAACATTGAACGAATTTAGCATGCTATTGACTTCTATTGTTTTCATTGTTGTTATTCTGTGTCTAGGGTGTGGTTAAGTGTTGGATATGAAGTGTTTCATGCTTAAACTCAGATCATATAACACTTGGACAAGCATAGTGAAAATGAAAGAAAAAGCATGATACTACATTCTAATGCTTAATTTACATTCCTATAGAAGTGCATGTGTTTACATTGTGTAGTATGATCTTAATGTGAGTATTAATATCATGCTACAGCTTCTGAGAGAAAGGGAGTTGAGGAGAGGGTGATTACTAGAGGAAAAGGGCTAGGGGAGCCATCTAGTTCAGGTTAGTGTTATTATTCCTTTCCTACTTTTATTTAAACAAAATGAATTTCCTTTCCTACTTTTATTTAAACAAATGAAATTGATTTTGCAAAATATTTTTCAATGGATTGCTTTATGAATTAAATTATATCATAAAAGTTTTTAAAGAGGAAAAAGAATATTTTTTGAAAGCATACGACCGAAATGATATTTGGTAAAATGAATTTTAATGATTCTTATACCTTGAAAGAGGAGGAATGTTGGCCAATTTGATAGCCTTAGTATGAAAGGGGTGGCCGTGATTGAATGTTTTTTAAGCCAGTGGTTTGTGAAAATGGAAATTTGTCCATTGGGTGATTTTGCATTAGTACATAAATGGAATGATTTAAAAAGTCTTAGCAGCTGATGATAGATATGGTTATTACCCGATAATCATTTCATTTGTTGAAGTTGATATTACGATCGATTGAACATGGATAATCATCAACTAGATGATATATGATTGATATGAAATTCTCCCGTGCCATGTGAGGTTGTAGATTGCTGCCCTCTTCTGTTGAAATCATATCACAGATTGAGGTTGTAGATAGCAGGTCTAGAATGTTGGCACATTAGACATGCTGATGCGCCTCAGAAATTGTACTCTTATAAAAAGCCTGTAAAGACTATATTATTGAATTGATGATTTTATGGTATTGATTTATTTTGTTTCTTAATTTTCTTTACCATGGTGGATTTTATGAAATTGTTTTTCATTTCCCTTATTATTTTTATTAGTACACCACTAAGCCCATATGCTTAGCGATAGTTGCTTTTGTTACTATCGCAGGTAAAGGAAAGGAAAGAACCAAGAGAGGATCATTTTTATTTGATGTAGATAAGTATGCTACTGGATGTAGCTAAATTTGTATACTTTGACTTCTTTGGAATATATATGATGTATTAAACATTAAAACGAGATACTTTTGTTATATTTGAGCAGATCATGTAAATTATGATTTGTATTGAAATTTGAAAATTTATAGTCTATTAAAGTAATTAATTTCTATTATGTATCTAAAGATTTGAACAGGAATCCAAATATGTAATTAAATCATCCATGACTTATGGTTATGGAACGCATTTTTATTTTATGTTTTTTTTTTTTATAATATTGTTTAAGAATATATTGAGATATGAATAATCCTACCGAAAGAAGTTATATACTATTTAATAACTAAATTATTTTGCCTACAAGATAATAAAAATATGAAGGAATTAAAAGGAATTAAGTTACCGCTTGTAGTATACTTAGTAAGCATTTAATATGTAGTATACTTAGTAAGCATTTATAAGAATTAAGTGCTTATTAATTATATTACGGGCGACATGCCATGTCTTACAGTAGGGTAAGGTGTGACAATATTAATTAAATTATAAAAGCTATTTTATTGCACAAGGCATTAGCTATCTTATTGCATAAGAAATTTTTTAAACATTCTTTCCTAAATTTTCTTATTTTGATGTTTTTGTTTTTGTATCTTGTCACTTTACATTATAAGTTTTTTGGTTTTTTTGGTTTTTATCTTTGTTATGTAATCAAATTTTATTTTTTAATTCTCGTAAATGTCCTGATTTGTTTATCTACATATTAAACTTTCAAAGAATTGAGTTTATTTAATAAACTACAGTTTCTTATATCTTCGTATAATTAGATTTATTTCATTTCATTTATAATGTATCACTAATTATAATTGTTAAGTTTCAAAGTAAGTATATGTACAAAAGTAACAATAAGAAGTGTAACACTGAGATCAATAAAAAAAAAAATGGTTAGATTAATGATGATTAATTACTCCCTATTTTGACTGACTAACAAAGTAAATAATTCCTCTGGATTTTCTATAACTGGTTTGCTTTTCCAGTAAATAACCCTATTCTGATTTACTCTATTAGCTAGTAAAGTTCTATGTCTAGTCTATATGTTTATTTGTAATTCTTGATTACTTGTAATTCTTGAATATTATTGTTGATGAATCATAATTTTCCAAAAAAAAAAAAAAAAAGTAATAAACAATTATTATTTGTAAAGATCTTTAATCAGATTTCAATTTTGCATTTATTTACAAATGAATTGTTAATTCTATCTAAAATTCATTCTTAAGTGAATTCTATACAAATTTATTTTTAAATAAAAAATAAGTATCAAAATTGAGTCTCATTCAATCGCCCAATTGATAAGTAATTGTTCAAATTTTTTTTATTGCCTAATTATAGCTTTTAGAAAGCAATTAAGCATTATGTTTTAACAATTTATAGTCAACATCATAATTTATGGAGTAAATTTTTTTTTTTTTTTCTAAAAACAGTAGAGTATTTTAGAAAATAAAAGCGAAATGAATTTTTCAATTTAATTAATTTCAAAACATGAAAAATCCCAATTTATAAATCCATTCTCTTTTCTTTGAGTATTACGGGAGGGAGATTCGAACCTAAAATTTATAAATGAATTCTGATCCTATCTAGAAATCCATTTTTTAAATGAAATCCACATTTTGAATTTATTATAATAATGGAGTTGAAAGTAAAAAAATATATAATGAAAAATATGTCTCATTCAAACTCTCAAGCTGATAATTATTATTTAATAATTTTTTATTGTTGCGCCGTAAATTACCAGCTTTTAAAAAAACATTAGTACATGCTTTATTCTCTATAGTCAATATCTGAAATAACAATATGGGAGTAATTTTTCTACCCAAATTAGTAAAAATAGTATTTTAGAAAATTAAGGCAAATGAATTATCAATTTTTGAATTATTCCTAACATAGGAATATAATTTTCAAATAAATCTAGAAAAAAAATCTAAAAATACATTAGAAGTGAATTCTAACCTTTTTGAAATTCATTTTATCACAAATTAGAACTTTAAGTTTTTTTTTTTTTTTTTTTTTTTTTTTTTTTTTTTGGGTTGAGGTTGATTATAACTGATATTAACTTGTTTCTTCTGTAAAACAAATGTTAGTTTCTTTTGGGCTTACATGTTTATTTTTCCAATTCTTAGACTTTTGTGCTTAATTGTTACTAATTAGATGAATTGAAGCTAAAGTTTTATCTTCTTGCTTGTTTGCTAGCTAAATACTGTGTTTTTGTGATACTTTGTAGTTTTTTTTGTTGGTAACTTGTAACTTCTTTCAATTTACTGCTTTTATCAATTCAGTGTTCCTGCATATTATGGTTGAACATTTTTGATCGGTATTATAATTTAGAGAATTTAAAGTTTAAGAATAAGATTATGTATTTTGTTGTTCTTGTCAGACAAGATGCTGCTGCTTTAACAGAAGGATAACAGTTTAATTTTTGTTTTTTTTTTTTTTATTTTTTGTCCAATTTTTGACCTTCATATTTGCACTTATAATAGGCTGGCTCGGGTATTGGTGGAATGCTTAGTGCAGTTCACGGTTTCAATACAGGTACAATCCAATTCTTTTGTTTTGCTGAATTATGTATGACATTTGGTTGCACAATCTTAACTGCTATTATTTCTTAGGGATTACATTCCTTCAAAATCGTCTCAAGGGACCAAAATGGCTGCCTTTTCTTGTGGGGGTACATGTCCTACCCCTTTTCATTTTTTTTTTTTTTTTCCAAATCTTTTAAGCTAAAAGGGCCTACTATTTGTTTCTGGAATTAAATATTAATGACTGTTATTTGCTTATTTTATTTTGTTAACAGCTTCCTCCCCTGCTAGTGGTTTCGGGTGCAAGTGCTGCATTTGGAGGTAAGAATAGAATATAGATTACTGAGATTTAAGGAATGCAATGTCATTCTTAGCATGCAATATGAAACTTGGTTTTATGTTCTTGATTTTATGAGAGTAGTCTCTTGCCTTTTGCACATTATAAACTCTTGGAACCTTGATGAGAGGTGCCAACAACTTTGGCCCCCGCTTACTGACAGGTGCAGTTACTTCCAGAAAAACAGTGTGGTAACTGTACATTAATTTTTTCAAAAAAATTCCTGGGTCTTCTATAGCATCTCATAAATGGCCATTGAAATTATGCAGTTGTAGTTCAACAATTTGGGTACTGTCAATGTATAGCCACAATTTCCAGGCTCAAAACATGTGCTATGTTTGTACTATGATCTTAATTCACTACATCCTTGCAAAAGACCCTTCTTTTGGCATTTCTGTGATTTTTCTGTGATTTTTTTCAGACTAAAGTTAAGTCTCCAGCAATAGTGTTTTATAGTCACATGTGGTAAAAATTTTCCATTCTGATAATCATTCTTTGAAATGGAAATGAACATTGAGAACTTTCTGTTTTATGAGTTTTGCGCCCTTCAAGTCAAAATATTCCACTAACCTTTATTGAAGTTCTTCTTTGGAATTTATCCAGATTGGGGGTGGGTTTTTTGAACAATTCTCTATAAAATTATTTTTTTCTCATTCTTTTTTTTATTTAAATTTTTTAATTTCGAAGTGTTTGTAAAGAAAGCTTTTATGGTACTTTCAAATTTCTTGTTATTAAGGTGGGATGGTCACACCCGTTTGATGGGACTTGTCAATGTCAAAGATGTTATTGAAATGGGGAGTTTTTTTCTTTTATTTCTTATTTTTTTTAATTTTATGAAGTTTTTAGTTTTGAAATAAAGGCAGCTGAATCTCTAAATGTTTGAGGTTTTCATCACTAAAGCCTAGGCAAGAAAAAGCTGGTAGGTCATGGGTTTCTTGTATTTCTGGTTCAGCGAAACAAAGGCAGAGCAAGCTCAAAAGGGTTTACAAATTATATGGCTAGAGTGGATATGCTTATAGATTATAAGCATGTTAAAACTGGGAGCTTGACATGAAATCAAAGTATTTTGGTTGTTACGGCAACTAGTGTGCAGTTAATGTACTGGAAAAGAGAAAGGGCTTGTTTCAAAAATCTAAAAGTGAACCAACTGATTAGATAAAATAAACCCTGCCCAAATTTCTTAGATTTTCATTGAGGGGCCTTGATCAGTTTTGGGTTAATTTATTGGTTCATTCAGTTTACGTTGGTCTCAGGTTAGGTTAGCAGAATTGATTTTCAGCTGTCCAAGCGAAAATGGCTGTATGGGCAGTTTTTGGATCTGCACCCCCTTTGCCCTAATGCATATAGAGTTCAAGGCCATAAAATCTTAGGGCTTGAATTTTCAATGAAAATCTGGTTAATACAAATCTATATAGTTTCGTGGTCCTTCATAAAAGCACCATCGATTTTAGGCTTGTTCAGCTGCTCTATTGCCCTCACTATATCAAGATGGATTCACAAGTTTTTGGTTATCTACTTTTCTGGTGTGTTTATGGTTTCTTTTGCTTTTATATAGGATTATTGGTGTTGATAATTGAATTTTTTGTGCTTTCTGGTTTGAGTACTGTTTCATGCTTTTGGTCTACCTTGTTTTTGTTCCTCTTCCTCCCTACATGCCTTAGGCGACACTCCCTTCATACTGGAACTATTCTTTGTTTGTTTTTGGATCCTTTTCGTGCTTTTTTGTTTTTGTTTGATATGCTATTCTTAGGACTTTTGAATTTGAAGCTTAGGCTTGTTTACTCTTGCATGATATGATATTTTCTTGGAAATAAAATTTAAGATTTATCTTGTTCTGCTTAATGGGCGTCATATGATAAATCTGAAAATTCCTCTGAAAGCTACAGATTAGAATGAAAGGTTAAACAATTTAAAATTGCATTTCAATTTTGATATTTCCCACTGAACCTAGTTGAGGTTTTATTTTGATCATGGAAATAAGATAAGTTTTGGAAAGTGCTAAGTTTCAATTTGAGTGGCTTCTAGTCAAATCTTTTAGGAAGTAACAACAAATAGCTTTCCTGACTCATGATCTATCAGGTCCATAACTACCTGTCTTTTCTCCTTCCTACCTCTTTCTGTTTCTCATTTCAATGGTGAGTAAAAATTCTGGCATGAGCGCATGACACATTGACCAAGTAAACTAAAAAGAGATGCAGGGTATCCCTGCCTCGAGAGGAGAGGGAAAAGATTGGGGTGGGCTAGTAAAATTTAGATTCATAGCCAATGCAGATAGCAAAAGCTAGTTGGATAAGAAGAACTTTGAAATGATAGACGCTAATGTTGGTTTAGAATGTTTAATTATAATTTGAGGCTGTATTGGCTCATCCTTTCGCACAACTGGGCCTTAAAGCTGGTAGTTTGTTTGATTAGCCTGGAAAAGTTGTCCTCACAGTAGTGCGCAAACTTTTTGAACTAAATTGGGTAAGGATTATATAATGGTTTGGGGCTGTGAAACATTCTTGCACGCCTAGAGCATGTGATCCTGTAATGACAAGTGGATCTTTGTGGAGTGATGGAGTAGGGAGTCTTGAATGGTTTAACTTCTGAAATAAGGGTTTTGTCTGGTATGAAAAATATACAAATTCATCAATTTTGTGATGTTGCTCAATGTATACTTCCCTTTTTTTTTTTTTTCGCATCAATTTGGTTTTCTTGAGTTTGGAATTGCTATGGTAGTTCAATTTGTGTTTAAAAATGTGGAATTGTAGGTTATGCAGCTTCCGAAAGTTTGCGCAAACTCCCTGTGACGTTCTAATTACATGGCTGCTCAAGCGCCTCGCAATTATGGATTTTCACCTAACTTTACGCAACATGTTTGAAGAAGCCCATACTTCCAGGTTTCAGCAAGAAAGGCCTTAGATGAGTCTTTGCAAAGTGCACATGACTGTAGAATAATTACTTCCCTCAATTTTTGTAAAGTAACTGTCATATTTGTTGGCATAGATTGGTGGAAAATCTCATTAACTTTATAGTTTTAAACCTTTTTTTTTTTTTTTTTTTTTTTTTTTTGGGGTAATTTTTTTTTTTTTTTTTTTTTTGGGTAACAAATTTATTGAGATCATTTTGATGAATGAGAAATCATAAAATATTGTATAAAAATCAGTTTGGAGTGCGCTCTATAAATTAATCTTTGGTGCTTCTCCAAGTTCAATCTCACATCTTGCATAACTATGATCTTGAAGCTCCAATGGATTTGTTCTTGAACAAATGCATTCAAGGCTGCTCGTAACTTGGTTGTACGAGCTCTTGTGATTGGCCCGGCAGGTATAGCTAGAGGATCCTTCATCTTGCTCCCTTGATCTGTATCAATGTTGTTTGCCAAAATGAAATGTAAAAGTCCATATTCATAACGATTGAACTTATTCATTTCGACGAGAGGCATAGTTATTACTGAAATGTGAAAAATCCAGAATCATAATAGGTCTCCCGCGAAGTTTGAGGCTACATGGATAATCGCAAATTACATGGCCAAATATATGCATTTTAAGCTGTGTTAAATAGGAATGTTCAGTTAGAGTCGACTTGGTTTATGAAATTCGGATACAATAAGGCTGTATATAAGTCCAATTTTTTTCCAAATTCAAAAAATAAAAGAATCTGGAATTGTCAAAAATTATTGCAGTAAGCATTTAACTCTTGCTAATCAAATTAATTGATGAAGAATTACTCATAAAATAATTGTTGACAAGATTCTTATAAGTTTACTTGAAAATGTTTAGCAAAAAATTTTCGTCGCTTAAGGATTCAAAGAATTTTTCATAAATAACAGTTACAGAACTGACCAATGTGTTGCAAGCTGTGGAGCAAAAGGAAAGCAACATATAATTCAACTATTGACATGAAATAAATAATATCACAATATATACTATCAGCACTAAGTACTAACCAGTTGCTTTCTGTTTCGAGTTGCTCAAATTCAATGGCTCTATCAGCAATCTTTTTGTTCTCTTTTGTTATTACATAACGAGAAAAGGCAATTCAAATCTGATTACGTACAAATCTCAAAAATAATTTTCTTTTTGCTGGAACTAATCGTGTCGGATGTTCACTAGTATCTTTAATATGGATTTGCACTGGTGGGTATACAAAGAGATAAAAAACTTCATATCAAATTTTAAAGGTACTCCATACACTCAGAACGTAAAATTTGATACATAATTAAAATTTAAAGGTAATAAATGGCTACCCATGTACCTAGCTAGTACATGCATCCACGCACTTATTATATTATATTTCATAGAAACTTTCACATATTTAATACCAAGATTGTCAATACAAAAGGAAAAGTCTAAATTTTCCTATAGTACAGCATCAGAAGAATTGTCCATAGTACTGTAGATGTAGTCGTAAAACGGCATGAAAAGGGAGTAATTAGTCCTGAATTTCGTGTGATGCAAAGAGTGAAAACTGTCATACAAAAAGAAAATGGCTGTTACTGCCAATTAAAAGGAAAGGAAAGGAGAGAAAAGAAAGGAAAAGAAAAGAAAAGAAACTTACGAGGGTGTGTAGATAAGATATTTAAGAGGAGGAAAGACGGAGAAGAACCATTTAGGAAAAATCTCAAAGTTGCAATGCCCCATGTTGTTCATAAAATCAATGTAAAATATATAACCAATAAATGCTACCAAAGAGGCTCTTCCAATGATTATCAGACCTGATATCGGTATTAAAAATAACATGAAATATGCCATGACTTCAGCGAATGGATGAATTACAGCTGCCAAAATTAATAATTGTTCAGATTTTATTTATGGTTTTAATAATAATAACAATAATAATAAAATTTCCATTTGGTACTCACAAGTAATGGGTTGAGTGACAATAGAAGAATGGTGATGAGAGTGATAGCGAGAATAGAGGAAGTGATGATGCAATGCTCTGTGTAACCAGTAGTAAAGGAATTCTACAGGGCCAGCATGAAGCAAAATTATTATAACTACACTATCTGTTCTCCACAATGGAAATTTAGAAGCCCCTGTAATTGCCTTGTTCAGAATGTAAGATAGTATTCCTTGGAGTATGATCTGATCGTCCCTGCCAATTAACAATTTGAATTTATACATGGTTACGTCCTCAAAGCCAAAACTCATATTGGTTTCTGTTACATATAATATATATCAGTTAAACTGACCAGTTGCTTTCTCTTTCGAGTTGCTCAAATTCTATGTCTTTATCAACAATCCTTTTCCTGCCTTTGGCAGTTAAATAACGAGAAAAAGAAATCCAAATCTGATTATGCAAAAACCTCAAAATTAAAACTGGGAATATAATAAAGTTGAAAAGGTCTCTCTCTTTTTCCTCTTTTACTGTGAATGAGTATATGCTTTGAGCTATCCATGGACCCAGAATCA